CATGAGGACGAAGATCGAGAAATTCTGGGAGTTTGTCAAACAGATGCGGATTCTCAACCGGTACAACCTCGACCACATCGTGAACGCCGATCAAACCCCCCTCTTCATCGAAATGCCCCAGGAGAGGACGTTGGAGCACAGAGGCTCCCGTACCATGCATGTGAGGACGGCCGGCTATGAAAAGGAGCGGCTCACCGTCATGTTGGCAGTCACCGCGTCGCGATTGAAGCTCCCGCCGTATGTCATCTTCAAGCGGAAGACGCTGCCAAAGATTCAGGTTCCCCCGGGTAAGAATCGCCTTTGCTTTTCGCTCTGTGCATAGTGTACACCGATGCATACTCCCTGATTGTTGTTGTGTCTTGTGATTGTATCCAGGTGTCATCATCCGAGCCCAGCCGAAGGGCTGGATGGACGAGAAGCTTGTCCAGGAATGGACTACTCAAGTCCTGAACCCGTTCTTGCGCCCGCTGCGCGAAGCGGGGAATAGGCGCAAGGAGGCACTCGTCATCCTGGACTTGTACAAGGGCCACCTCACGCAAGCAGTTGGGCAGACGATGAAGCTGTGCAAACTTACCCGCGCGGTCATCCCAGGTGGTTGCACGCCTCTCGTTCAACTGCTGGACGTCGCAGTGAACAAGAGCTTCAAGGCCAGCGTGCGCGGCGACTACGGCGCGTGGTTTGAGCAGTTCGGCATCGACCTGAAGACTGCGGCAGGTGAGCCCCTTCCTAATCGCTTCCTCACTAGTTATTAGACTTCTTGCTTGTTGACGAATTCCACCGTGCCCGTTCCTAGTCGTTATCTTACCGTGCCCGTGCTCTTCTCCTCCCATTATGCTCCCGTCCCATGTGCAGGAAATCTGAAGAAGCCCCCGGCTGAGCTCATCTTGAAATGGATTGCTCGGTCATGGGAGGCTGTGCCAGAGGAGCTCGTGCGTAGTTCATTCAAGACGTGCGGTATATCAAATGCGCTGGACGGCACCGAGGACAACCTCGCTCTCCGCCACCTCCGCGGCAAGCCCGACCTCAAGGTGATGGACGATGTCCACGTCGAGGAGGGCGAGAGCGGCTACATCAACCCCCTCTACGACACCTTCATCGATGTGGACGGGGACGTCGCCGACGACGAAGAGGCGGATGCGGCGTCGCTGGCGGCTGACGACATCGACTATGCTGAAGCGGCAACCGAAGCAGCTGAGACGAGCGCAGACAATGCAGAGACTGCATCAGCAGCAGCAGCAAGTGTTGATGTGTGGCCGGCAGAAGGCATTGCAAAGGAGGATGACGACAAGTGCTGGTGGGATGAGCTTGCAGATGGGAGCGACGTCGAGATGTGGCAGGCTGGTGATGAGGAGCCTGAGGAGGACGACTAGAGCAGTGGCAGAGGAATGAGTATCTGGCGTAGTGTAAGGATTTAAAGTGTAGTGGATAATTTAGGTTCTAGGTAGAGCCAATAGGTAGGATTCAAGCCCCAGGTGGTGCCACTAACTAGTTCAGCTGCTAATTTTGCTGAGTAGTGACTAGGTGTACTCTAGTTGTATTGCTAACGTCTAATTCAAGAAGTTGTATACAGCAAAACGTCGAAAAAACGTTTTTTCATCTCGGGGGAGGGTGGTCAAATGTTTTCAAGGCCAAGGGTAGGGTGGTAACTAAATCCAGTTAAATTAAACACTCATACCCGCTCAAGCTACCCGGGGGAGCTTAATTCCGGCGGGTGTTTTATACGGGGGATTACGGTATATATATGTTTGACATCCCCCACATCTCCCCCCCACACCCCATAACCATAAGTACATGTGTCTGATCACATTGCCCCTTGTACAGTCACAATGATCAATGCTCCAGTCAAAATGACCAATGCTTGGTACCGGTGTATTGAGAAAGCTTGCTACCGTACTTGTAGTGCAAATGGCATCGTTCTCATTCCACTGGGTGGAGGAAGAATGACCTCCAACCCTATTATATAGTTGGAGAAGGGCGATTAGCGCACTTCTTCGATGCCGAAGATTGCGTTACAAGCAGCTTCGCATTCACAATACCCATTTTTGTAAGTGTGAACTGAACACTTCAAATTTTACATGTTTCCCAATCCCCTCTTGAAAGAGCAACACATACCGTAATCCCCCGGATATAACACCCCGGGTGTAGTACAAAATTCGGGCAAAAATGGGGGGGTGGGTGCTCTATTTCGCGTTTATGCTATAGCACCCTGGTGTTATATTTGAGGATATATTTTTTAAGGTTGCATTGTGTTCCTTGCACAATAAGCTTTCCGGCCATGTTGTTTTGGGCTTGAAAGGATTGCAAGTGTGCGCGATCTGAAGGGTCAAAGTCCGCCTGTGGGTCAAGCCCGTTCTAGACAGCCATGCATGCTCGTAAACGAGTGTGCGACCTAGCATGAAACATCCCTCTCAGGCGTCCCCTCTGTTGTCAGACCCAGGCGATGCCCTCCCTCCAGCGACATGCCCAACGGGTCGCCCACCAATCCCGTGGCGCTCAGAGCACAAGCTGATTGTTGAGGTTGCTGGGAGTTGTCGTTGGTATTTCTTGGTGGGGGCTTCAGGGGGGAAGATCCATCGTTTCCCTCCCTCCCTTTCCAGCCCCTCGTCCCCCTAGCATGACGAACGCTGGAATCAGCGTTCTCTTCAGCAAGAGAGCTTCTAACCTTCGCAGCAGTAGGAATGTACCCGCCTCCTCCTCTCGTCATATAGCTCCCGTAGTGCCAGCCCCCACGGGCTGGCTTCGTCGTGGATATGTTCAGGGGGATGACGACATCGATGACGTATTGCCCCACCTCGATGGAGATGACGAGGAACATGCAGACGAGACTGCTGCCAACGGCGATAATGGCGAGGGCGGTGCTGACGGTGATGCGGAGTACGAGGACTTTGCTGCGGCAGCGGCTGCTGATCCGTACGGGGACTTCGATGATCCTATGGCGATGCCCGACGTCGTCGTGCCATCGTTTCCAGGGTACTCCGAGGCTGAAACAGATCCGGAATCCGTCAACCACGATGAGACACCGCCATCGCCACGGTCGAATCTGACGGGGAGAAAGCGGCGCTCAATTTCCGTTCGGGAGAAGCTGATGTGGTGCGCCATGTTCGACAGCCTTCCCGCCCCCTCGCAGCGAATGGTGGCGCGCATGGCGAAGGTGCAGCCGCAAATGATTCGTGAGTGGATGAAATCTCGTGAGCAGCTGAAGCAAGCGGCACCTGGTCGGAAGCGCCTTCGCGGAGCAGGCAGGAAGAGCAAGTACCCTGACATGGAGAGAGCTGTCTATCGCCGGTACCTTAGCGCGCGACGGCGAGGTCTCCCCGTGTCCATCGGTCTCCTCCAGACCTGGAGCCGTGACTGGATGAAGGACCACTTCCCGACGGTGCAATGGCGGGCCTCTTCGCGCTGGTCCTTCCGTTTCCGTCGTCGTTGGGGACTAACAGTGCGTGTGAAGACTAAAATGGGACAGAAGCTCCCTGCCGGTAAGCCGACACTCTAGTTTCCCTCTCCCTTCCACCGAAATTCATCTTTCCAAGTCAGTTGTGCACGTCGAATTTTACAGCGTCTCGGTTTTCTCCTGCTGCGTTCGACTCATGCTTAGCGACTCTACCCACATGCTCCCCACCCTCTGTTTTCTTTTCCACCGCAGACAGTGGGCCCAAGTGTGAACGCTTCTGGCAGTTTGTGCGGCAGATGGTGCTGAAGCGGCAAATCATGCCGGAGTTCATCATTAATGCAGATCAAACGCCGCTCTACCTCGAAATGCCCCTTGAGCGCACCCTGGAACGTCGCGGTGCCCGCACTGTCCATGTCCGCACTGCTGGATATGAGAAGGAGCGGGTGACCGTGATGTTGGCATGCACGGCCACCGGCGAGAAGCTCCCCCCGTACGTCATCTTCAAGAGGAAGAACCCTCCCCAGTGTTACACTCCCGCAGGTAAGTTTGGTGCTGATTACCGGTACATGCTGTTCTGTTTTGTTTCCTACAACCAATAAGCAATGAATAAGAGTCTAAAACCGGTCTAATCTACGCTATGCCCCTCCCCCCTCCCCCTCCTTTACAGACGTCGTAGTGCGCGCCCATCCGAAGGGGTGGATGGACGAGCGCCTCGTCCAGGACTGGACCACGAAAGTCGTCGCACCGTTCGTGACAACAGCGCGACGACAGCGCCCGCCATCCCTCCTCGTCCTCGATTCCTACAAGGGGCACCTGACCCCTGCTGTCCGCGCCACCTTATCCCTATTCCGCCTTTTCCCTGCAGTCATTCCAGGGGGCTGCACTCCGTACGTGCAGCCACTGGATGTGAGCATCAACAAATCATTCAAGGCAGGTGTACGATCCCAGTACACCAAATGGTTTGCTGAACAAGGGATCAACATGACGACCAAGGCTGGTGAGTTTGATCGGCGCCTAGACCCATACGAATCGTGACGGAATTTCACTGCCCATTCGCGAATCCGCATGTGAATGCAACGTTTGTGTTGTTTCCGACCCACTGACAAATCTCACTCTCTCTATGCCAGGGAACCTGAAGAAGCCACCACCGGACGTGGTGCTCAAGTGGGTCTCACGGGCGTGGGCTGCAGTGCCGTATACCCTCATCCAAAAAGCTTTCAAGACCTGTGGCATCTCAAATGCCACAGATGGGAGCGAGGATCATCTGATCCTCGCTCACATGCGCGATGGGAATGAGGTGGAGGTGCTGGAGGAGGTTGTGCCTGAGGACTCCCCCAATCCCCCACAGCCAGCACCCCCTGCCGCCTCCCCCCAGGCCCCCCGCCGACCCCAGGAGGTGGTGGCGGAGAATCTGGACGAGGACGCCTGCTCTGAGGATTTTTCTGGATGTAATTCTGATCAGGAGAGTGACGATGATGGCGAGGAGGTAGAAGGGGGACACGAAGAGGAGGAGGCGGAGGAGATTCCTTGGGAGGATGATGTGTAGAGGAATGCCTAGTGTAGTTGCTAGTCTGGCATGTGTAGTAGGGCAACTGTAGTGATTGATGGTGCCTAAACTTACATTAATATTGTAGTACTCCGCAAATTGAAAAATAGGCAAAAGCAATGGGGTGGGTGCTATACCAGGTTCCTCAAAAGGTGGGTGTACAATTAAGGGTTCGTCAATAGAACACCCACCCCGGATATAACACCACTGGGTGCTTTATTCCGGCGGGTGTTATATCCGGGGGATTACGGTACTAGAGCCGTTTCCCACACTGAAGCAAGCAACACAAGCAGCACCAGGAAGGGTCCATTGGTTAGTGAAGCACACTTAGGTAAGTGGGGGGTGTTGCCAGTGTGCCGGCCGGTGTGTGCCATTAACGCTAACAATCACGTGGATGCTCGGGGGAGGTTGGCATATTCGGGAGGAATCATTTCCCACACCGAAGCCACAAAAGCGGCGCCAGCGGGAATGTTGTGTTTAGTCAAGCGCACGAGGGAGAGCAGCGTCTTGCCGGTGCGCTGCCGTGCCATGGACCAGCAGGACTTGTTGAGATGTGCATCCACCCCTGAGGTTGGGGAGAAGGGGGGAGAATTGTGGGGGGAGGGGGGTGGGGGAGGGGGGGGGAAGGTGGGGGAGGGTTGTGTGTGAATGGGAAGTGTGTGGGGGAAAGATGGTGTGCTGGCATGCCATGGCAACAGGACTTGTCCAGGTGAGCATCCACTCCTGAGGTTGAGGGGAGAGAGAGAGAGGGGGGGAGGGAGGGGGTGAGGGGGAAGGGGAGAGGGAGGTGAGTAAGAGTGGGCAGTGAAGTGTGGGGGAAAGAGACCAACAGGGCCAACAGGACCAACAGGACTTGTTCACATGTACATCCACACCTGAGGTTGGGGGGAGAGAGAGAGGGGGCGGGATGGGGAGGGGGAATATTGAGTGAGGGTGCATTGTCAAGTCTGTGGAAGGAAAGAGAGTGAGGGTGCATGCAATGGACGAGCTAGACTTGTTCACATGTGCATAAACACCTGGGATAGCGAGGGGATGCGGGGAAGGAGTAGTGTGCATGGGGTGTGCTTGCATGCCATGCCGTTTACTGGCAGAATTTGTCCGCGTGTGTGCATCCACGACTGGGATGGGACAAAGGAGTGTGAGGGAGTGTGAGGGAGAGAGCAATGCGTGAAAGAAAAAACAGTTTGGGAACATTAAAAAAAAAAAGAATCACTGCACATGAGGAGGGGGAGGGGAGGGGGGGACAGAGAGTAAGAGGGCCCGCAAAGACCTGAAGTCAGGGAACAATGTATGGGGCGATGGTGACACCAAGTAACACAGTAACACACATGGTAACACAACGACTAACGCAGTAACATCCCAAGTAACACAGAAACGTACCGAGCAGCATGAAGTCCTCTCTGCAGTTGATGTTGTAAAACAGATCGGGAAAGGCAACCGGCTCAGCCAAGGGATACACAGCATCATCAACAGCTGCTGCTGGTGCTGCTGGTGATGGTGGTGCAAGGATAGGCATGCAGAAGAGCTTGCTGGCCTCTCTGTTGCATGCTGTGACCGTACCCATGGCGTCCACTACCAGCCGGGACTCCCCAGATGACTGTGAAGGGGGTTGGGGGGAAGGCAAGTAGAGGGTAAGAGTACTGCGTGCATGACAGAAGCACAGGAGCTTGCTGGCCTCTCTGTTGCACGCTGTGACTGGCGTCCACTACCGGCCGGGACTCAGCCAGCCGCCTGTGAAGGGGATCAGACGTATTGAAGAGAGGACGTGGAAGAGAAGGGAGGAAGCGAGGGAAAAAGAGGAAGCGCAAGGAAAAGAGGAAGCGAGGGGAAAAGAGGAACTGGGGATGTCTGTAGTCCGGTTTTGAAACAGGACTGCAGAGAAAAGAAGGAATCAAGTTCCACAGAAGGCTATGTGAGAAACGGATGTACATATAGACATGCATATATATAACATTGTATATATGGATATACTAACAGTGTACTCACCAGCACGCGCCCCTTGTACAGCTTGCTCTTGGCCTCCATGCGCCTCTTCCTCTTGCTGATGCCAAACTGGATCCACCACCATGCAGCATGGAACAACCCACCAAACATGCAATGACCTGCCATCCAGCACAGCACAGAAGCGCAAGACTCACCGGCACGCGCCCCTCATACAGCTTGCTCTTGGCCTCCATGCGCCTCTTCCTCTTGCTGATGCCAAACAGGATCTGCCCGAGGGTGGCCGACAGCGGCTCTGTCATCTGCACTATGTCCTCCTTATAGCCTCCCTCCCTGTTCGCTACCATCCACACTCCCACTAGCTCGGTGCCTGTGGCGGGGGTACAGGGACGGAGGATAAACGGAGGAGGGAGCACAGAGAGGGAAGGACGGGGAATGAGTGTGGCTGATAGAGGCTCTGCCATCTGCACTATGTCCTCCTTATAGCCTCCCTCCCTGTTCGCTACCATCCACACTCCCACCAGCTCGGTGCCTGGGGTAGGGGAACAGGAGGGTTGAGGAGAAAAGGGAGGAGAGAGGGGGTGAGAGGGTTGAGGGTGTTAGGGGGGAGAGGAAAGGGTGGAGGATGGCCGGGAGGGGTGCCGTACGACTTGGGGTCGGAGGGATGGTGGTTGGAGATGTCGGGTTGGCAGGAGGCCACAGAGATGCAACCAGAGACCAGGACACAAGCAGAGACAGAAAAACACGCACCTGAATTGCACTGGCACAGATACCTTACATAGACCAGCACACTTACCCATCAAGACCGGCACGGAGAGGAAGCAGCGAAGGCTGGGATGCCCAGGGGGAGTGCCCCCGGACTTGGGGTCAGAGGTAGGGTGGTTGGAGGTGTGGGGCTGGCGGGAGGCAACAGAGGCACACAGGGACACAGCTAGGGACCGGGAGACATACAGACACCGAGAAACACGAACCTGAAAGCACTGGCGCGTATATTTTGCACACACCAGCACGCTTACCCATGAGGACCGGCACGGAGAGGAAGGAGTGAAGGCTGGGTTGCCCAGGGGGAGTGCCGCCAGTCTTGGGGTCGGAGGGAGAGTGGTTGGAGGTGTGGGGCTGGCGGAAGGCCACCACAGAGACACCTGGACACCTGGACACCTGGACGCATGCAGAAGCACAAATACCTAACCACCACGTATAGACTGGTGCACATACCCATTAAGACCGGCACTGAGAGGAAAGAGTTGAGGGTCGGATGCCCGGGGGGGGTGCCGCTAGACTTGGGGTCGGAGGGAGGGTGGTTGGAGATGTAGGGCTGGCGGGAGGCGACAGAGACGCCCAGCAGCGACTTCATGTTGGTGAAGACAAGCCCGCTGGCGTAATTGGCGAGGCACCACTCATGCAGCTCTGGCGTCCAGGCAAGGTTGGTGGCAGCGTGGGTCTGTGCCAGGGGAATTGGGGTGGAAGGTGGGAGCAAGGAGAGGAGCAGAGAGGAAGCATACAACATCAGCGGGGCATGCACACGAGGCCACAGAGACGCCCAGCAGCGACTTCATGTTGGTGAAGACAAGCCCGCTGGCGTAATTGGCGAGGCACCACTCATGCAGCTCTGGCGTCCAGGCAAGGTTGGTGGCAGCGTGGGTCTGTGCCAGGGGAATTGGGGTGGAAGGTGGGAGCAAGGAGAGGAGCAGAGAGGAAGCATACAACATCAGCGGGGCATGCACACGAGGCGACAGAGACGCCCAGCAACGACTTCATGTTGGTGAAGACAAGCCCGCTGGCGTAATTGGCGAGGCACCACTCATGCAGCTCTGGCGTCCAGGCAAGGTTGGTGGCAGCGTGGGTCTGTGCCAGGGGAATTGGGGTGGAAGGTGGGAGCAAGGAGAGGAGCAGAGAGGAAGCATACAACATCAGCGGGGCATGCACACGAGGCGACAGAGACGCCCAGCAGCGACTTCATGTTGGTGAAGACAAGCCCGCTGGCGTAATTGGCGAGGCACCACTCATGCAGCTCTGGCGTCCAGGCAAGGTTGGTGGCAGCGTGGGTCTGTGCCAGGGGAATTGGGGTGGAAGGTGGGAGCAAGGAGAAGAGCAGAGAGGAAGCATACAACATCAGAGGGGCATGCACACGAGGCCACAGAGACGCCCAGCAGCGACTTCATGTTGGTGAAGACAAGCCCGCTGGCGTAGTTGGCGAGGCACCACTCATGCAGCTCTGGCGTCCAGGCAAGGTTGGTGGCAGAGACCACCAGCTGAGACCCCCAGCCAGCAGCGATTTCCCGCAGGGGAAGAAGGACCCGGTGTCACAGTTGGTGAGGCACCACCAGTGGGATGCGATACCCACTGGTGGGCGACACATGGGTGCGTGCATGTGAGGGGCATACCTTGAGGTATGGTGACCCATCGTGGCGGTGCAGCACGGAGGCAATGACGCCCATGGGCGACTGAGTGAGGTCCAGCAGTGCAGCCAGCAGGTAGTCACAGATCTTGGTGCCGTTGGGGGTCTGGGGAGAAGAGTGAGTGGAAGAATATGGGGGGAGAGGGGGATTTTTAGTTGGCTCAAAAGCGCGGGATGAGGGGGAAGAGGGGATGAGGGGTATGGGATGGGAAAATAAGAGAGGAGAAAACCAGGAGAGGAACGAGGAGGTCATTGCGTATCATGGTGTCATTAAGTGGGGACTCACCTCATGTGAACACTATAACCATAAACAGAATTGCTATAACATCACTCGAATTGTGACTGTAGATTTATTTGTTTCAAAGGCTCACCTCATCATTGAAAACGAGCTCGTGTGCTTCCACGACCGCCATAATCACGATCGTAAGTGCGTAACCTAAAAATATATATACATATATATACATGTATATACACATATTTAGAGTACGTTTACCTTGTTAGTTAAAAAGGGCTCACCTCGTCAGTGAAAAAGAGCTCGTGCGCCTCCACCACTGCAGTTATCACCTTCCCAAGCGTCTCCACCTCCCCTCCCCCTCCCTCTCTCTTCGTCTTCCCCATCGCCTCACTCCCCACCCCCTTCAAACTCCCGCTGCTGCGCCCACTGGTTCCGCCCATACTCATGGGTCCGCTGGTGCTCCCCCCTTTCCCCTTGCCCATAGCGCCCCCTCGCGTCGATCCGTGGCTGTGCGCCTTGCTACTATCACCATCGCCTACAGTCACTTCCGCTCCAGTCACAGGACACCTCAGCACCTGTTTCCCCGAGTTCCCCCCTTTTTCCACTTCCCCCTGGCCCCCGTCTCCCCCAGACCTCCCCCCTGCGCCTAACCCAGACATTTCCAGTCCCCCAACTCCCCCTCCCCCCATCCCCCCGTCCCTCCCCCTCGCAGCAGCACCGCCAGGCCTGTCCCCTCCGGAACTGGATGGCCGAGGCGAGAGCGTAGGCATGGGGAGAGGCACGGCCGAACCTAGCCCGTAGGGGTCCAAACCGCCGCTGAAACTGGTGCTGCCGAGGCTGCCACCGGACGAAGCCAGTGCAGCAAACTCCGCGTTTTCGGTAGGGTTACCAGCAGCAGCAGGATCAGCGTTACCATATGGGGAATAGAGTTCCAAAGCGGTACCACCAGAGGCAGTAGCAGAGAGGGAGGAGAGACTGCCACTGTCGCCACCACCTGAACCAACAGAGACCCCATCTGCAGAAACAGCTGAATCCGGCACCTGAGTGTTTTGCAAATCATCCACCTCCTTCCCCGCCGCCGGCACCACCCCTCCCCTCTCTTTCATTCTACTCACACCTCTCCCCGTCTGTGTCAAATACCCCTGCGCCCCGCCAAAGTCAACTCGCTTATTAGCAATCTTATCGATGTCGAACCCTCCAGAACCCCCTAACGGCTCTCTAGCAAGCAGCAGGTTCACTCCCCATCCCTTCCCTCCCGACGCTGATCCTGCCGCTAATCCCGCTGCTCCTCCCGCTGCTGCGGTTGTAGCGCCCGCCGCAGCTGCCGCTACAGCACTCCCCGCGATCGACGCTCTCCTCGCCGCGCCCTTCAACGAAATAATATCCTGGGTTCCCCTCGCTACAGTCACGCCTGCTGCATGCGGAAGTTCGCCTGAGCCCGCTCCTCTCGACATAGCGCCGCTGCCGCCGCTACCGCCGCCACTCCAGGCGCCGCTACCACCGCCGCCACCGCCGCTACTGCCGCCGCTTTTCTTGGCGGCATCGAAGGGCAGAACCGCGAGATCCGCCGCCACTGCCGCTTCGAGCGCCGACTCAAGATTCCCGAGGGACCGCGTTCGAGTCATCCCTCGCCCCTCCTGTTCCGTTAACGCGTGACCCTCTAACGGGAGAATCAGCCCCTCGATAAGATCCGCTCCGTCCGCGGCGCTGTAACCAAACTCGTCCGTGTAACCGAGTTCTTCGCCGAGCTCTTCGCCAAGCTCTTCGTCAAAGTCGCCGTCGCACAGCTCCTCCAGCGAAACCGGCATGTTGGCGGAGATCGCGTTGGCGGAGATGGCGGAGGAGCGCGACGAGGGGAAGCGCTGCGCCTGCAAGCCCCGCCCCGCCTCGCGCGCGTTCCGCACGTCATGCAGGTGATCCGCGGTCTTCCGCCGCCTAACAGCCGCTCCCCCCTCCTCATCTTCCGCCATCCCCATCCCCACCCCCATCCCCATGCCCATCCCCATCCCCATCCCCATCCCCAAACCCATCCGCGTCCCCGCAATCCGCGCGGATGGCACTTCGCGAGTGCCCTCGTCGCCATGGGCTGACCCGCTCGAGTCGCCCGTTTTGGACCGAGCCAACTCCCACGGCGGACCCGGCGGACCCTTCCCCGCGCTGCTGGCTCCGCTTCCGCCGCCGCTCCCCCCCGCGCTCCCGGCACCGTCCGCTCCGGCGGAATCCGCGCCGGCGCGTTCCGGATCAGCGGAGTGGCTCTTCGACAACCGGCACGCGCCGCCCGCCGCAAGCGGAGAGGACGTCGCGGAGGACGCGGCGCCGCCACCACGGGTGGCGGCGGCAATGGCGGCGACTAAGCGGCGGTTGATAACCGCTGGCTGCGCGGATTGCGCGGATGGCGCGGGAGAGTCGAGGCTTAGATCCTTCGGAGAGGAGCTTCCCGAATCGGCGGAAAACGCCTGGTTACCCGGGGGGCTACTGGTACTTGAACCGTTAAAAGAGCCGGCGCTTCCGCCCCCGACGGATTGGAGGTGTCGCGCGATGGCGGCTTGGCGGAAGGCGGAAACCTTCTTCTTTCCGCCGCTGGGGGAGGCGGAAAGAAGCGCGTCGGGAGCGGGGAAGGCCTTCAGCGCCGTCGGACCTAGTCTGCGCCGCAGCGCTTGCTGCTGCTGCTGCTGCTGCTGCTGCTGCTTCTGGCCCTCCGCCTGCTGGTTCTGCGGCAGTTCGCTGGCCTCGTTTGAAGACGTCTCGTTATTGGGCTTAACCTGCGCCTGCTGAGCCATCAGGGGGTTAGCGACAGCGGCCGAAGCCTTCGCTGCCGCTTGCCTGCTTCGGAAATGGCGGAAGGAAGGAAAGAACGAATAATTAGAACAGAACTTGTTGTTCATTATTAATAGAACCTAATGACGCAAGTGACTTCAATGCGTACCTCAAGTCAATTCTCGCAAAATTCGTTGACTTCGAGCCGCGTTTCTTCTTAAAGCCGATGTACTTAGCAAGGTCCGGCGAGTCGGGGACCTGCAGCTCCGCACCCCCCGCCGCGCCTGGCGCCGGGGACGTCGCCGCCGCCGCCGCCACAGCGGCTCGCACGTCCCCCTCTCCCCGTCCTTCCTCCCCCTCGAGACTAAGGAAGCTTCGGAGCTCGTCGTCAAACGCCTCCATGCCCTTATTAAACGCCGAAATATTCCCGCTTTGATGTCCTCCGTCGGGTAACCCGACTGTCGCCGCAGCCAGCTGTTCGTCGACCTCCCCCATCCCGCTACGGCCGCTGCCGCCGCTGCTGCTGCCGCTGCTTTTAGAAGGGTCGATTTCGACCATGGGGGGTAGTTTTTCGAGTGCGTAGCCGGAATAGAAAGCGGCCACCGCGCTAGGAGCGGCGTTCGCACGGACTGCTAACGCGGCGTCGGCGCTGGTCATGGCGGCTTTCTCCCGACGAGCGTCGACGTTCTGAATGTCCACCTGCAGCCGCGCCGCCATGGCGGCCGTCGGCCTTCCGAACCCCATTGCGCGCGGACCGAGAGTCGGACGGCTCAAGAAAGTTAGTTACTGGGCTCCGAAAACTGCGCCCATTCAAGAACGAGATATCACAAGTCAATTGAGACGGTTTGCAATTAGTGGACCCAGGTATTGCAGGTTTGAAGTCAAGGGGTTCGTCGCTACTCAAAACTACGTAGCCATAAAGAGGCGACACGGCAAACCCAACTTCGAGCAAGGGATGGAGTGTGGGTACACAAAAAACAGTTTCCAAGGAGCAGATAAGGTGTCTGTCTGTCTGGGTTGGCGGGAGAAGTGAGTCAGCAAGCAGCGCAGCTTTGTGCGTTGAAATGGCGAGGGGGGAAAAGAAAGTGGAAGAAAGGAGAGGTTGGTTTGGAAGCCCTGTCGAGCAAGGCTCGCTGGAGAAACGGGTTTGGTTTGGTTCGGGTGGGGTGGTTCGGGTTCGGTTTAGCCGCCTGTAATGATGCAAGTGCGCACAGTGGCAGCCCCCCTGACCTGATTGAAACTGCAGTACGCTCAGCGAAACAGAGGTGAGGGGCAACATTGAGGGAGCGGTACATTTGTTTCGTGAGGCGTCAATTTCGGGGCTATCGTACATGAGATGTACCCCTCATGTTTTGTGAAAGTTGGCAGACATCAAGGTTGAGTGTACACTTTCGAATCACGGGGATTTGTACTGTAATCACGCCATTTCCTTCTCGTGTGCAACCTTCAGTGGCAGCTGTGAACGACAAGAACGGAAATTCTCCCGAAACGGCGCCAGCAGGTTCACGAATCACGTGGGTGCCCCCGAAAAATGATCGGTCCAATGAGGGAACCTTGGTTCGGGGCCGGAAGTTCGGTACCGTGAGTTACAGTGTGATGTCGTACGTTTAAAAAATAAATAAATTAAAAATGATGAGCGATACAGAGGTAAAACGATCTGACGTTGCGAGCGCAGGGTCCCACCGTTCGTTTCCACACCAACGAGCTTGACAGGTTTGGGGAAACTGTGGCCGGGAAACTGTACAAATGATGTCCGCAAAATGCCCAGCCCGATTCTGTCCCGAAGTGCTTCCCCGACCCGATCAGCAATCCCATCCACATTCATCCAGCGCGACTCGTGAACAAAACTGTGTTCTAAAGCCGGGCACCAGGCCTCTTTGCTAACAAAATAATTACCCTTATTAACTTGAAATTAAGAGTAACTTTTCAAGTGATTCCGTTTTTTTACAGTGCTGTTTTTTAGCGCGACAATTTCTCCAGCTTACGGAAACAATTTCGCGCGATTCCTTAGCCTAACGAGTAACTTTTCTTCGAATCCGTATGGACTATACTTGTAGCAGGGAAATCTGCTAGGGGGGTAGCGACCGCCCACCCCCACTACCCCTCTCCTCCCCTAGCCCCCACCCACCCCCCCACCCCCCGCGCCCAATCCGCCTTTGATCACTTGCTAGCCGAAATTGTAGCGGCCGATTCTTTTCGGGGGAATTCTGTCTGTTAACGGGTAATCCTGATGCGATTCCGTCCCCTTCCGGAATACCCTGGGGCTTAGCGAGAGGCCTGTCGGGCACCCTGTGTGCAAGTGCACTCGGAAATCAGGACAAACTGAACGGGTGGAGCAAGCACGTCTGTGAGAAGACCATGTGAAACGACAAGATATCACACACCACAATTGCTTGCAATGCGAATTTCCTTGCCTCATCCATGCAATTAGTCTCCACCGGGTGCGCACTCAATTGCTTTGATTTTGACGAACCTCGTAGGCGTAATGCGCGCACTATTTTCGCCAGCCTTCGCCACGGGAGAATGGGCTGTTAAGTGGCCACTTGTGCTTTCGCGAAATTCTTTGGATGGACACATTGGCTGCCGCCGTGTCGCAGGTGCCACAAAACCCCGGTGAATGGGCCACCAGGTGAAAGGACCGTTTTCCCTAATTGGTAGCGAATGGGCGCAGATTGGGAGGTAGGCCTGGTCATTTTTCCGAGACTCCCTGGACACCTGGTGTACCCTTGCTTGCCTCATCCATCCATCCCTACAAAACCTGGGCAGCCTTCACACTACACTCTAAAACAAAAACATCTGGCAGTTGACCGCTTCGCGCTTACTTCACACCATTTTCGTTTGTGGTTCCATCCCCAGGCCGGAAGGCCCAGAGCTACCGGTAGAAATGTCCCGAGTCAACTGGGAAACTGCATCCGTGCAGTCCAGCACCGTTGCATAAATGCGCCCTTGGGTCAGCCAGACGCGCATCTGACAGGCAAATCAAGGTCCCATGCATCAGCGCATTTTCTGGAACGAGTGTTGGACCCTCAGGCTCTGCTCTAAAAACCGAGGCTGGAAAAAAATCGCCTCGGGTCTTGCGAAAAAATGACGGCTTCCGCCAGTCAGCTGTCAAACCGAAAAGCTAATAGTTTCGTGCAAATGAACTTCCACCAATAATGAACTCGCACATTTTTGGTGGACTCACAAAAGTTTGGCCAGTATAGTCGCAACGCAACCCTCCCTTTGCGACAGTTCACGACTGTGCAGCCGCCGCATCGTCAAGAAAATAAGACCCCGCAGTTAGATTGTGACAACCCGCGGCTCCTTGGGCCTCGGGTCGACCTCGGGTCTGACACTCACTCCAGAACCTCCCTCAAGGCCGCAACATCACACAGTTCCGGGACGGAGACACGTCAATAGTGCTTGCAATTGTTCGTTAGGTTGCATGTGGTGCGAATTCATGCAATGTTGACTTTGTTCCAGCACCGGCGGATAATGCACGACAGTGAGTGGCAGATGCGGAGCTAGAAAATGTTCGTGGACGGATCACATAAACTGCTGTAGATAGTCTCAGCCACGAATCTCGACAGATATTTCACCGGCTGTAAGTGCTTGCGACCCAACGAGTGGACAAGAAATCAACATCGGTCACGAAGAGGGCCACTCTCACACACTGTCGTCATGGTCTCAACTCAACGTGTCCATGGGACTTTTTCGAGGTCACAGGTACAGTTCTGTATTCTACAACCTACGGGCAGGAGGCGAGGAACAATGCAGAAATTATGATCAATCTACATTTCTTACGTTCCTCCCCAACCTCCATGCACGAGGCGATGAACAAGGCGGGAAAACCTGGCCTGGTGGATGCGACCACTTTTGGGGATGATTCGTTAGCAAGGCCTTGTACTCGTCTAGCAGTCTTGTTCAGCAAATAAATGCAAACGCGGGTATGATACCTATAACTGTGACATGTAGAAATTGGCACGTCACACATTCATGTTTCACTTGTCAAATTACCCTTTGAATTCGCGAGTGTGCAAGGTTCAATCACATCAGATTTTTATTGGTGTGGGGCAAACCTCATGACATCATGGTAAAATGCACTTATGATCCTTATAATAAGGTTGGGGTGGGTGTTGGATCCTTATATTTATAAGTGGTTCAGTTTTTCATCTCAGGGAAAAAAAACCAAAACCTGTATGGGACCCGGTTTTTTCAGATTGGTCGAGTGTAGGGACCCCGATGCGGAAAAGTGTTGTGCAAGTCCACCCTTACACAATCACAGATGCGATCCCCCATTATAATGATTTCCCCCCTTGCCAACTTATAAATTTCAGCTAAGTTCCCCCAATCCGAGAGTCATTCCTCCTATACCTCTCGCAACCCGAGATTTCGACGAAGTCCCCCACTGCCAAAGGCATTCCTCCCTCAGCCCTCGAGCAACCACGAAAAAAATGTGAAGTCCCCTATCGGCAGAGACAGAGCTCCTGTAGCACCCCTCGCAACCCAGAGGATTCGGCTAAATCTGCCACTAGCAGAGACAGTCCTCACGTACCCCTCGCAACCCGAAGGATTCGGCTAAGTCTCCTTCGGCCAAGTGCATTCCAGTCAGACTGGGGAATAACTACCATGAAATTACAGGGTAGCCTAAAACGAAAAGAAAGCCCTGGACGTGGCATGTCACACCTTCTCCCCCCCCCCCCCCCCCCCCCCCCACCCACTTCGGCGAGGGAATGTCGCGCCTACGAAATAACGGCGACATGATTTTATGTTTTCACTGTTTTTTATCTAGCCCCTGCCCGCGCAAGACGGGGATTCACGCTGTCAGTTTCTTCTGCTAATGGTTTACAGTTTGTTTTTTTAATGGCATTCACTCACCCGCGAATTCATGCGCACTGTTTCAACAACCTGCCGTCTTGACTATTTATTTCGTGTCGGTAGTGTCGTACCTGCCGCTAGGGGCACGACATGCCACTCAGGGTGGCATCAGCCTTAAACTCCGAAACGAGATGTGTTTGGGACCTCAACTCGCATGTCGGGCAACTATGAATTTTTTAGGTAGCCCAAATGCTCTTCACTTTCGGGTAGTCAACGCATGGCGCACTTTTTTAAGCAAGCCTCTAGGCTGCCCCTAAAGTTACCCAACGGCTAACTAAATTGACGAAATCACAAGTGCTGCATAAATCACTCACAACGAGAACTCAGATCGCGACCGGGAAGGGTCCAGAGAAGAAACCGTGACCACATGAATTATAACTGCAACATTATCGATGTGCGTCATTCCCTCCACTTCACGGCTAACAAAAAATAAAATGGCGCACCCTATCGAGTGAAGTGGAGTGGATGACGCTTAAATCACTTACAAGGCACGTCGTCACATCAGATTTGCAACATGTCAGTCGTCCGATCACACGAGATCCCGCAGCTACAGTAAAGTGTAAGGCTGCGTTGAAGTTATACCCTTACGTAAAAAAGTACAATGATTTAGGACCCTTATATCACAAAGTAGCTTAAAAATATACCCTTACAGAAAAAGTGGCAGCAAGCCAATACCTTACGAGAAAGCGTACTTCTAATCCTATCTAGAGGCCTAATATGGGGCACGTGACATCACGGCATGATGCTCAACAACTGTTTTCAACCGATAGGCAGGGGTGCAATTGGCTTTCACATATGGTATGCGACACTTGTAAAGCATAATGTGGGGTCTCATATGTTACAAAGTCACCAGTCCTAACCACTGGGACAAGAAGGGATATCCTCATGAGAGTTAGGCTCCATAAATCCACCTTCCCCGTGGAAAGCCTCCCTAGTACCGTAATCCCCCGAAAAAAACACCCGTCGAAATTAAGCACCCACTGGTGTTATATCCGGGGAGGGTGTTTTATTTAAGAATCCGCAACTATACACCCTCTTTTTGAGGGTTCCAGGAGTGCACTCCCCCCTTACCATTATGGCCCTCCTACGCCTAGCAATACCAGAAAAAAATACAGTTTTTTCATGCTATTTCATGCTGATTACGAACATG